GTATACAGCTATTTCAAAAAACGTTGTCGGAGAGAATGGCGATTGGTTATTGGTGATTGCACGACCGAAAGGGAATATGGTTCTTGAATATGTCGTACCAATCATCAGTTCTGTAATCCAATTCAGAGTTTTGACAAAGAGAGTAATTAATCGAAATGAAATCAGTTGGAGTAAATAAAAGAATAATCATTTCCTTCATTGCTCTCTTTGTTATTGAATTTTTTATCACGACGCGCGTAGCTATTTGTAAAATCGTGAATTGGCTCATATCAATAATGCCAGCTCCATATAGCAACGACCTTCGTTGGAGGATTATTTGGTTTGTACACTTTCTGCAGCATTCCGTGTCTGAGGCCTCATTTTACTTGGGTGTCTCAGAAAGGACAGTTGAGAGATAMATTTCGAAATACCTGACTACTGGCGGTGTAGAGCCAAAGACTATAGGCCGTTCTCGTGGTAGCATTCACTTTGCGCCACAAGAAGAATTAATAATTTTCGAAGCCGTCTTGAGCAATCCTGACAAAACTCTTGCTGAAATAGCAGATGAGATTTACCGTCAAACGAACTCTACTTTCGCTCTCTCGACTATACATTATTATTTATTCAGGAGTGGAATTACGCACAAAAAGGTGAACGTAAAATCATGCTTTTTATGAATTGTTMAGCAATTGACAAAATTTACAGTAAATTTTCATTTTATTCATAGGTTCAAAAAATTGCACTTCAAAGAAATGACGATCTACGTGCGCAGTATTGGAGCAATATATTACTGTTTCCTCCAGAGATGCTTGTATTTTTGGATGAATCTGGATTTGTATGTATTTTTTTCTCGAAAAAAAGTATTTTTAGCATTAGCTTGGAAAATTATTTTAGCATTTTTCAAAATAGGATAAAAGGATTTGCAGAAAATATGGGTACAGCTTTCATGGAACCAGAGCAGAAGTTGTGCGACCACATCGAAATTGGGGGCCACGAATAACTGCCATTCCAGTCATTTCAACAGATGGGTTGATGGATGTCGGACTCTATCGTGGTMATGTAAATGAAGTCACATTTTTAGATTTTGTTACCGATGTTCTTGCACCGAACTTGTTACCATTTGATGGTGTTAATCCTAGGTCTGTTGTTATAATGGGTACGTACCAAAGTAGCAGGACTCTTAGGCTAGTACTCCAGTAAATATAAACATGATTTCCATACTACTTTAATTTTATTGTTCAGTGAATTACAGAATAATTTAATGAAGCCACATGATCGCGGGATCGTTTTCCAAAACAAAAATTGTTAATGGTTTCAGTAAAAACGTCCCTCTMAAGTGTTCCAAAGTACCTTTATTTCGATCGATCATAAACATGTTATTTAATTATAGATTATTATACTACTGGCGTATAGCAATTAACTTTTCCTTTGCTTTTAGACAATGCAGCTATTCACCATACAAGGGCAGTTCTTGATGCAATCAATGYCACTGGTGCACTCGTTGTATTTTTACCACCATACAGTCCCGACTTCAACCCTTGTGAAAATATCTTTTCACAAACTAAAAGTTGGATAGCAAGCAATGATGTGATATGGCGTTTGATAGATAATCATAATCATAATCATAATGGTTCTACAAGCCTTTTTGAACGTCTCTGTCCAAGACGTTATTAATTGCATTCGACATGGCAATTATATTTAGTGTGATTTACAAAGTTCCCTTTTGTTTCTTTTTTTTTTATTCAAATCAAATCAAACTGTAAATTTACTTTTGTAGTTTGTGAAGATATTACACTGTCACTTAAAGTGAATTAGATGCATAAGCATAATTATAATAGATAACAAAACTAGTCGGAATATCCACGAGTTAATAGTACTGAATTATACTAATTCTGACAACTCTGCAACAAGCTTATTTCTCAGGCTACCAAACTGCTCTACAGTGAGAATCCCGTCGTCTTTCAAATCCTTCAAGTCTTTTAATTGTTTAATCACTGCTGTTCGCTTTTCTGTCTATTAAAAAAAATGGAGATCAGTGTTTTAGTATGCAGTCATAAAAGTACTAATAAACTGCAGTTCCAACCGCAGAAAAAAGCAGCGTGAACCAATAGTGTATGACTTGAAACTTGCTGACCTTATCGTTATCAGAACTAGAAATAACAGTACTAGACGTAGACGGTGTAGTGGTAGCGTTGTTGGATGCATTCGCCTTTGCTTTTCCTRGCTTTTTTCCTGTGAAAAATGCGAATTGYGGCATTTGGTCCTCACTTGTATGSCTTCCRTTAACCWAAGAGATAAAAAAGATCTGAACTTCAATTGGAAAAGCAGAGCGTTGTGATAAAGAGTTATAATAGTTAACCAGGCTTCAAAGCTACGAGATTAACAAGATTTGTCATTTTCACGTGCAGTTCTATCGTCCTTATCAGCTACTCTTATTCAGTCCAAGCTACTATAACAAAACAACATCAGAAAATAATTACAAAATCAAGGACCTGTGAATAAAGAATAATCGAAAGCAATATTAATCTAATATCTAGTAAATTTTGTCTGTCCAAAACGTCAGTAGAAGTTGACAAAATTATTAGAAGTGTTAATTACTTCAATTCCTAATAATGCCTTTACTCACCAACATTTTAGCCCAAACCCGAATCTTAAAATCCTCCAAATCAGGGTGCTTTTCGGTCAGACTTCTTATTTTCTTTATCAAAGGGCTTTCTTCAATGCTATCTTTGCTACTTTCTATCAAAAAACGTAAACATTCTAACTAAA